GACCACCAAGGACCTGGCCAAAGCGCTGGCCAAACAGTGTGTGGTCTTCAACTGTTCGGATGGACTGGACTACAAGGTGAGACACAACAGAGCACCCACCCACCACCCACAAACCGTGTGTTGTCACACATCATATCACCCACCAACCACCCAAAAACAGTGTGTTGTCACACATCATATCACCCACCAACCACCCAAAAACAGTGTGTTCTCACACATCATATCACCCACCAACCACCCACAAACAGTGTGTTGTCACACATCATATCACCCACCAATCTCCCACAAACAGTGTGTTGTCACACATCATAACACCCACCAACCACCCAAAAACAGTGTGTGGTCTTTAACTGTTCTGATGGACTCGACTACAAGGTGATGTGGTGGATGGTTGGCAGGTGCTCTAGTGTGGTTTGCTCCTTCTTTTCTATCAAACATCTATAGTCCTGATCTCTCATCTTTCTTATTTGTTTGTGATTCTCTTGTAACACCTCTAGTCTTCGACACATATAGGACCTTATTGTGCTGCAAGTGCCGTAAAACTCTTACTAATACTGAAACTTTAACTCCCTGGACAGATGATGGGCGGGTTTTTCTCTGGACTGGCCCAGTCGGGCGCGTGGTGTTGTTTTGACGAGTTCAACAGGATCAACATTGAGGTGCTCTCTGTCATCGCTCAACAGCTCATCACCATACGGAACGCCAAAGCTCAGAAGGTCGGGACTTATTTGTGAATTTATTTCTAAAGTTTTTTAATTAAGAATCTGTCATAAATTTATGTCCGCATGTAGTTTGAGATGTGTATTTTATGTGGCATGTTGTATTATTATCAGCTTTTATCTTCTTTTCTTTTTGAAATTCTTTTTGAAAATAAAATATGATGCAATATTGTAAGTATGTCGACATGTGTCTTTACCATTTTTGGAATGCTACTAAATGTTCCAACAGTTATAACAATAACGTATTACCTTACCTTATCTTATCTTATCTTATCTTATCTTATCTTATCTTATCTTATCTTATCTTATCTTAACAAATCTCATATGGTCTTATCGTACCTTATCTTATATTATCTTATCTTACATATTTTTATCTTATCTTGTATTGTGTTGTCTTATCTTATCTCATCTCATCCCTTCTCATCCCATCTCATCTCACCTTAACACAAACACACACCGCCCCTCTTTCTGTCTGTGTGTGTCCTGACCCCCAGCTGTCACGGTTCATGTTCGAGGGTCGTGAGATCAAGCTAGTGTCCACCTGTGCAGCCTTCATCACCATGAACCCTGGCTACGCCGGCCGCACCGAGCTGCCGGACAACCTACAGGCGCTGTTCAGACCCATCTCCATGATGGTGCCAGACTACGGTACGCTGTGACGTCACCGCGGGGAGAGCTGAGCCTGGTTTCAGACCGGAAAGTTTTAATTCAAAGAAAAGAGAAACAACTTTTTTATTCGTGTTGTTGTTGTTTGTTTGCTGTTGGGTTGTTTTTGGGTTGTTGTTTTTTTGTTTGTTTGTTGTTGTTGTTGGGGTTTTTTTTTTGGGG